CACCTTCTCCATTGTCTATTCTCCCTCCACTCTCTTCGTCTATTGGTAACAAGAATACTGTTGCAGATATCACTTCACGTTAACTGGAGACTTTGTGCAGACGCTGAGACTAGTACTTGACGACTGATGAGTATCTTCCAGACTGGGTTCATTACAATGTGTTTTTAAGGGATGCCTTAAGTGGATTTAAAACCGAAGTAGTGACTGGGCCTTAGTTACCCTTAAAAAAAACTGTGAATGTGTACAACCCAGCTTTCGGGCCGGGTGGGGATGTGTTGTATTCAAGGGATGCCTGAAGTGGATTTAAAACTGAAGTAGTGACTGCCCCTTAGTTACCCTTTTAAAAAAACTATGTTATGACGAAAAATACTAGGAAGACTGTCACGCCCGGCCTTGGTTACCCTTTAAAAAAAACTATGTTATGACGAAAAATGCTAAGAAGATTGTCACGCCCAGCCGGGAACCCGGGCGTGATGCCTAGGGGGGTCTGACGCTCGGGGTACCCGGGTGTGCAAAAAACCTTTTTTTTTTTGGGTTTGTTTGCTCTCTTCTAGACGACCCCAAATCCAGACTCATTTCGTTTTTCGCAAGTTGGATGTCAAGGGGGAGGGACGAGGGCTTAAATTGGTTTAAAGGGGGGTGGCTTAGTGTGATTTTCTTTTCTATCTCCGATTCTGTGGGGAATTCTAATGTGACCCTCAGCCAAAAGTCGTTTGTAGACAACATTTTTTTTCTGGATTTTTTTTTTTGCTCTGGGGCTGCCCAGACTCCTGCTTGGTGGTCATGCCCAGCTGGGCACCTGGGTGTGTACCAGGGCATAGGTTGGGTGCTTCGACGCCCGGAAAAACAGCCTAGGAAAAATATATTGAAAAACTTTTGCCTCAGGGTCACATCGAAGTTAGAGATAGACCACTGGATCCCCCGATTGGCATTGAGCAGAGTTTACTGATGCTTGTAGGGGAGGGGACCTGAGGGCAGGCACAGGGATTGGTCATGTTGGCATGGTCCCTGATGCTATCGTTTGTCGCCTGGCCAGTATCGCCCAGGGATTGGCCTGCAGGTCGGGAGCAGCACCTGCATGTTCTCTTGTGAACTCGGTTGTGGCTGCTATGGGGTTCCCTGTATGACTATAATTAGGAGTATTGATAGGTAGGTAGTGTGAGGTAAAATTGAGAGAAGAATGCAGCTTGCTTCGGAAAAAAAAAAAAGGTTCCTTGCAAAATTGAAGATGCAAAATGAAACATATTTTTGTTTTTTGGCCGAGCTGGGCAAGTGGTCCTGGACCCCTCTTGGAAATGTTTCTATAACCTAAGAGGCTAAGACTGCAGTAAATCAGGTCACCATCGTATGGACTCTTCGTGGGACAGGGCATTTTGTGTTTGTAACTCTTTTTGATCCAGCTCAATCGAATGATATTGAACTGGCGACTCGACAAAAGCCAAATGTCTCGGCATTTTTTACTGTGAAAACCAAGCCAAGTTTGATCCTCAGGGAAGTACTTATGCTTGCTTCTTTGTTGACCCCAGCCGGCTAAGTTGTCCACCCCTCAATTAAGTGAACATTTGCGCTAGTGAGGTGCATATCAACATTTCCTTGGGTTCAGGTTGCTTGTGATGAGGCAGAGGCAGTGCAGCGAGGCTGGGAGAGAGAGGGAGAGTGAGAGAGCACACACACGCTCACTCAACTCGACGCGGGCTCGACACGACTCGACGGACGCAGACACAAAGTGGCAAAAGTTGCAAAGTCGCAGTCTTGAATTCCCAAACACAATGTTGAAGTGAAGTCGCACTGAACACTAGCACCGAGGCTGAAAACTTTGTGCCTGTACTGTGCTCGAGTCTGTACCTAAGTATCGGACTCAAGTACGGTCCTGAGGGCGAAGGTGAAAATGCCTCAGGGCCAGCACTGAAAATCGAAAGTCTGAGAGGGGGCGCCAGAATGCCGGGTGGCGCCAAGTGTCCGAAATGTGGAAGTCGAAAAGGAGGAATTTGAAAACGGGCACCAGGATGAGGATGGCGTCAACTGTCCGGAATCGGAAAAGCAAAAACAAAGTAAAACGAAGCAAGAAAATCACAAAAACAAAAAAAAAAGCAATAAATACAGCAAGCTGGAGGGTGGTAATCTGCAGACCAGGGATCGAGTGTAACGGGCGCAGAGGCAGAGGACGAGGAGGGAGCAAAGGGGGAGAGAGAGTGAGAACACACACACACACTCACTCACTCACGCGACTGAACTCGACTGGATGCAAACACAGTGGCAAGGCACAAAGTCGAAGTCTTGGATTCCGAATGCTGAAACAGCAAGTCACACTGAGTATGAGTACAGCGGCAGAAAACTGGTACGAGACTGGTTTCCGTATCGTACGGGGAGCCGGTATAAGTATCGGTGACACGTACGGTACCAGGGGCATTTCTACAAAGGCCCCGAGGGCAGAACTGAAAAATGCGGTATTTGAAAGTGGCGCCCGAATTGCAGCATGGCGCAGTTGTCCAAAATCCTACGGTACCAAAGGAGGGGTTTGGAAAAAGGGTGCCAGGCCGACAACGGGATGCAGCCGAAACAGCAAAAAGATAGACCAGGGATCGAGCCCTGGCGGAGTCCGTAACACTATCCCCTTCCTCTAGAAGGCAACGTCCCGACTGCTAAAAATCATGAAGCAATGCTGAAATCTGTGAAGGACGGGACGGGGCCGATCACTGGTTAACAAGTGGAAAGGGAAGAGGGGTGTAATGTGGGTGGCATGGGCTGCGTGAGTAAGAGGGAACAGGGTTTGGTACCGGTGAACAGAGTTGTCCTACTGATGAACTAGGGGGGTTGCAGGGAACAGGGTAGTCCTACAAATGAACTATAKGGACRGCMGGGAGCAGGGTWGTCCTAMTGMKGAACTAAGGGRACYGCATGGTYTGCTATARGTTAAGGGGGAACAGAGTTCAGGGAACAGGGGACTTCTATTGAAGTTCTACTGGGTAAGGGAAATAATGGTCAGGGGAACAGGGGATGTCTATCAATGTTCTAGTGGGTACGGGAAACAATGGTTAGGGAAACATGGATCTGCTAATGATGAACTAGGGGTGCTGCAGGGGGAACAGGGTAGTCCTATAGATGGTTGACAAGGGTGAACAGGGTTTCTTATTGATGATCTACAAGGGAGAGCAGAGGGTGCTGCTAACGTGACCTGATCGGATGACAGGATGTCTTTCAGGGTCTGGGTTGCCTCTTCCCTATCCTCGGTCCAATCCATAGTGCCACCTTCCCTAATCATCGCGCGGATGGGTTCTGCTATCTTTGCGAAACCTTTGATGAAAGATCCTCCAGAACCCAACCACCCCTAGGAAGGCTCGTACTTCCGTCGTGGTACGCAAGGGTGTCGGCCACTTAGAGATCTTATCAGTCTTTGCTGGATCGGGTTTCCTCCCGTAGGCTCCACAGCGAAATCCCAGTATGGTTACTTCCAGGACGACCAGGATGCTCTTGGGTCTGCTTGCAGTAATGTTGTAGACTAAGAATCGCTGGAGTAAGTCCTTAATATCCTACAAGTGGTCCCAGATGAACTTTCGCACTCCCGGTTGCACTTTCGTCTCATCTTTGTATCTTGCGCCTTTCACGGGATTATCATCTATGTAAGGTTCACAATTTTCGGAAAACATATCCCCTGCGACGGCGAGCATCCTCCTCTGAGCTTCTGCTACCGCATTTGTGAAGCCCATAGGGGTCACTTGCATCTGCAGCTGTCCTACTAGGGTGTGCATTGCGGTATACGGTCTATCCCTTGCATCGAGCGGCAATTGATCATATCCTGAGTACAAGTCTACCAGGGAGTAAATGCTCCGCCCTGCATGAGATTCTGCCAATAAGTCGGCCTGTGGAAGCGAGCCTGTGTCCCTAATTGTCACCGCATTGAGCTTCTGCAGGTCATGGATCCACCTGAGTGTCTTATTGGGCTTCCTGAACACAAACCACTTGTTCGCGTAGGGAGATGCGGTGGGTTCAGCGACGAAAGAATCTATTTTGGCTTTTAGCACGTCGGTGACCTCCGTTGCGATCCCAAACTCATAGGCGGGCCCTTTATCATTCCAACACTCGTGCTGTACGGCGTGGATCCTGACAGAGGGAACTAGCTTTGCGTCCAATCGTCCTTTCTGATGATCGTTGAAGGCAAAAGCTAAATGAAACTCCTGACATGCTTTTCTTATCAGTTGAGTTTCTTCCGCTGTTAGAAACCCTTCCACTCCTATTTTCATGATATCTGCTACCTCCTCTGGTATGCGATGCCCTTCCGTTGCTCGCCTCTCCCTTATTACCCGCAAGATTTCCTCCTCCTTCTCCATGGCCTCTTCCTTTGACGTTTCTACTAGGATCGAGACCGGCTTGGCCTTCTTGCCTACGGGTTTATACTTTCGCACACTACTTTCGGGGATCGTTCTCCTAAAAAATGAACGGTCGGGATCGGCCTTGCTACCTCCAAGACGCGGGGCTGGATGCTGACTAGCTTCCCATTCAGACAGTAGCCCTTCCGAACCCCATCCTCAAATCTGGCAAGCGCTGCTAAGTCCACCCCCACTTTGTGGTACCTGATGGCCTTAACAAGTTGTAATAAATCTGGGATTTCAAGTACTACCTCCGACGTTTCGTTCCGGCCTTCCTTTGGTTTGGGCAGGCTGGCCCCAAGTTCGACTTCCGACTCTTTTTCTGCCACCATAACTTCCAGGGACTCGTCCTCTGGCCTCCTCTTCTTTACGGGCAAGCCCATCTTGATCCATTCCTTTTTAAAAGCCTCCTCAATCATAATTTCTACCCTTTCCCTCATTCCTTCCATTCGGGCGAATGCCCCTATGGATGTTCTACAAGGGTGAACGGGTATTTCAGTGGAAATTCTACAGGGTTATAGGTTGTCAGGGAACGAAAAAAAAAAATAATAAAAGCAAAATTGTTTGTTGCAAGGTTCACGGGCATAGTTTGCATGTACAAGGGCTGGGATGTTTGATGGGATGTGGGTACAGAGTCGGCGGTCTGCAATGGGTCACGGGGTCTGGGGGAGGTCTTGAGCAGTCCCAGGTCAGCGACAGCGATAGGGGTCTTGAAGGAGGTCTTGGTCAGGTCGATGGTGGAAGCAAGGCGAACTGCAAGGGTCTTGGTCAGGTCGATGATGGAAGCAAGGCGAACTGCAAAGGTCTTGGTCAGGTCGATTATGGAAGCAAGGCGAAGTGCAAAGGTCTTGGTCAGCGGCAAGGGGGGGTCTTCAATGGTCTTCAGCAAGGAGAAACAAAACGCTGAGTGTTGATGCGTGGAAAGTCAAGAGATCCATGTTCGATGGCTGTGGGCACGTCCGGTACATGAACTGCAGTGGAGTCTGATCCGTTAGCAAGGAAGTCGCAGACTGGTACATGGTTCATGTCACAAGTAGCTGCTCCAGGGAGTCTGCGAGGCAGGGTGCTGGCCAGGTGTAGCAGCATGGTGGCCAATCCAGCTGCATAATGGTGCAGCAAGCCATCGTCCTCGTGCGCATGCCATAATCCACGCAGGTCCACAAGCATTGGACAAGATGGACAAGGAAGTGGGGAGGGCGAATGGGGCAGGGCTAGGCAAGGGACAAGGGCAGATCAGACATCAGGAATCGGGGTGAGGGGCAAGGGTGGTTGTGGCAGGGGTGTGTGTAGAACAAGGTGGCAAGGTTGTAGTAGGGTTTAAGCAAGGGTTCAGGGTCTTAGCCAAGGTATAGGCAGGGGGATAGCTAGGATGTAGGGTGGGAACGATCATAGGCACGAACAAGTCTCATGGCATTCTTGAGATTTTCAAGGGGTTCCCATGTTGATTCGTCATCCGGGTAGCCTGTCCACTTGACTTTGTATTCTTTGATTGGTTCCGAGTGACCAGCGACTTGGGTTGTTCTACGGCCAATGATGGATTCCACGGAGAATTCAGGTCCAGTGGGGAGGATGATTGGAGGGGGACGAGGGTGAGGGCGATCAGAGAACTGTGGCGGGGATTCATGGTATTCTTTGAGGTATTCGACATGGAAGATAGGGTGGACACGGCTCATGTCAGGGGGAAGCTGGAGCTTGTAATTGACGGGGGAGGTTTGTTCAATGATGGGGAAGGGACCGAGCCACTTGTTTGAGAATCTCTTGGACAAGCCCTGTTCGGGTTCAAAGCGTTTGGCAGAGAGCCGGACCTTGTCCCCTACTTGGAAGGTGATATCACGGCGATGCTTGTTGGCTTGTTTAGCTTGTTGTTCCTGGGTGTGTTGGATTGACTCGAGTTGTTTCTCTTAGGAGATGGTTCATTGTTGCAACCCATTCATTGAGAGAGGGGCAGGGGGAGGATGGGTCGAGTTGAGAGGGGAGCAAGAAATCAGAGGGCAAGCGGGGGTGATAGCCAAGGTCAAGGTAAAAGGGGGACATGCTGGTGGAAGGGCAAACGACATTGTTGTANCGGGGGTGATAGCCAAGGTCAAGGTAAAAGGGGGACATGCTGGTGGAAGGGCAAACGACATTGTTGTAGGCAATCTCGGCGGCGGTGAGCAATGATCCCAATCTTGCTGGTGGGGATGACAATACTTCCTCAGGATTCTTTGGAGAGTATCGTTCATCTTCTCGGTTTGTTCGTCGGTCTGTGGGTGGAATGCAGTGTTGTACCTGAGCGTGGTTCCGTAGGCATGGAAGAGTTGCTTCCATAATTGGGAGAGGAAGCGGAAGTCGCAATCATTGACGATTCTCGGGGAGGCCGTGGTATCGGGCGACATGGTCGAAGAAGAGAATGGCAATGTCTTTGGCATTGTGCGAGGTGGTACAAGGAATGAAATGAGCACGTTTGGTCAAGCGGCAAACAATGACGTAGATGCAATCATGCCCGCGGTCGGTCTTGGGAAGACCGCACACGAAGCCCATGGAAACGGATTGCCATCGGTGCGTGGGGATGGGGAATGATTGGAGCTTATCGGGTTTGGCCCGGTTCGAGGGGTTGACAGCCTGACATGTGGGGCACGAGCGGATGTAGGCTTTGACGTCGGCAAGGGTAGAAGGCCAATGGAAATATCGGGAGATTGTGTCAAAGGTTTTCTGGAAACCAAGGTGGCCATCGATCTTGGCGTCGTGGTGCTCGGCCAAGAGCTGGGTGCGGAGACCACGAGCGTCAGGGACGTAGAGTCGGCATGTACCTTTGGTCTCGATGTAAAGGAGGTTGTCATGTAGGGAGTAGTCGGGGACGGGGTCGAGGTCGCGGTGTTTGTTGTAGATGGTGGAGAAGTCGGGGCAAGAGAGATATCCTTCGGTGTAGCGATGGCGGATCGATGGCAAGAGCTGGATGTCGGTCATGGCGGCATAGACTTTCTTGGGGGGTTTGTGATCGGGGCGGCGGGAGAGGGCATCGGCAACGCGGTTGCTCTTACCAGGGGTGTGACAAATGGTAAAGGTAAATTGGGCAAGGAAGTCTAGCCAGCGGGCTTGGCGAGGGGAGATGTCTTTCTTGGTCAAGATGGAGGAGACGACGGTGTTATCGGTACGGATGGTGAAGTATTGCCCGTCGAGGTATGGGCGCCAAACTTTGAGGGCGTAGACCATGGCGAGGAGCTCCTTCTCGTTGGATGGGTAGTTCATTTCTGCGGGAAGGAGTTTCTTGCTGGCGAATGTGATGGGGTGCTCGCCGGGTGGGCATTGGGAGTGGGTGGGGGAGTCCTTGATGGAGGGGGTTTCCGTAGGGTCGGGGGGAAAGTGCTGGGATAAGACGGCCCCGATGGCGAAGTCGGAGGCATTTGTGGTGACGAAGAAGTGGCGAGTGGGGTCAGCGAGTTTGAGGACAGGGGGAGTGGTGATGAGCTCCTTGAGTTTGTCGAAGGCGGCTTGGCGGCGGTCTGTCCAAGCGAAGGGTTCGGTGGCACGGGTGAGCTCATGGAGAGGGTAGGAAACGTCGGAGAAGTTGTGGATGAAGGGGCGGTAGTAGTTGGCGATTTCGGTGAAGGAGCGGAGTTGGGTTAAAGTGGCGGGAGGGGGGAACTTGACGAGAGCAGAGACCTTTTTGGGGTCCATGCGGATGTCGTCGGTGGAGACAATGTGACCAAGGTATTCTACGCTAGAGGCAGCAAATGTGCATTTGCTGAGCTTGGCGTAGAATGTCTGGTCGCGGAGGATGGCGAAAGCTTGGCGGAGATGATCAAGGTGGGACTCGAAGCTGGGGCTAAAAACAAGGATGTCGTCGAGGTAGATCACGACACGGACTTCGAGGAGGTCGTGGAAGATGTGGTTCATGGTGGATTGGAATGTGGCGGGGGTGTTGGTGAGACCGAAAGGCATTACGAGAAACTCGTAGTGCCCGAAGCGGGAGCGGAAGGCGGTTTTGTGGGTGTCGTCCTCGCGGATGCGGATCTGGTGGAAGCCACTTTGAAGGTCGGTCTTGGTGAAGTATTTGGCTGCACGGAGGCGATCAAGAAGTTCGGATATCCGGGGAAGCGGATACTTGTTCTTGATCGTGATCCGGTTCAAGGCGCGATAGTCCGTGCACATGTGGAGTTCCGAGGTGCCGTTCTTCTTGTCGAAGAGACAACTAGTGCCGAAGGGGGAGTAGCTAGGCTTAATGAATCCTCTAAGGAGTTCATTGAGCTGGTGCTTCATTTCCGCGGCCTCCGGGACGGAGAGCTGGTATGGGGGGTGGCAAGGGGGGGAGTGGTCGGGCTTGAGATCGATGGTGTGGGAAACACCTCGGTCGGGAGGTAGTCCGACGGGCAAGGATTCGGGAAACACGTCTTTGAATTCGGATAGGAGGGCGGAGATCTGAGGGTCGGAGGGGGGGTCTTGGTCGGGTTTGTGCGTTGGAAGCAAGTCCTCGGGACGGTCGCGGTCAATGACAAGGCAATAGTAGGCGGAGTCGGGGTGCTCACGGGTCATGTGAAGAAATTGGTGAGGGGAGACAGGGGAAGGGGTGGAGGGAGGGAGAAGGTAGGGGATGTCAAGGGGTGGATCAGGAGGGGTGGAGAGGTGGACGAAAGAGGGGTGGAAGGTATAGGGCATGTAGTGGTGGAGCCAAGGAGTCCCGAGTACGATGTCGCACATGAGGTGCATGACATCGAAGGAGACCTGACTGCGAAGAGGGCCGACAGTCATTGTGGTCTCGGGGACTGTGCGGTCGACGACGATGGCCGAGTATTTATCCCCTAGGCGGATGGTGATCGGGGAGTCATCGCCGGTGGAAGAGAGGCCAGCTTTGCGGACACAGGCATTTGTGATGAAGTTGCCGGTGGCACCAATGTCGAGAAGGGCCCAAACTTTACCGTCGATGCTCCAAAGGAGACGGCGATGAACTTGAGCTGGAACTGGGCGGTCCCGGCACAAGTGGAGGAGATCATGGCGTTGAGGCGGCGCTGCCAGAGGCCTAATCTAACAAGCCGAGTGTGTCGGTCTTGTTAATCCTTCTAAAATGACTCTGGCAAGCCGACGAATGCGAGGGCCGAAGGCGCGTCTTGAAGGCTGCTCTCCGATCGCCGCCGGATCTTCGCAGGGAGCCTTTTTGTCCGCAACTTGTGGCGGTTGCCCTCTCTATCGATGACCCTCTATAACGAGATCGAAGAAAGTGATGGTGGAGGGGTTGGGGAGGAGGGGAGTGGAACATGTGGCCGTTGGGTGCTGAGCCGACGGAATAGAGGACGTCGTCGGGAGGAGGGCAGGCGGAGTAGACTGCGACGCCTGGGGGGTGTTCGGTGTGAAAGTCGTCGCCGGCAGACGAATTGTTGATGCCAGGATACGGCTACAAGGGGCGGGGGGACAGTGTTCAAGTGGAGGAGGGACCAGGGGCCGCGGTGGAGGAGGAGGAAGTGGTTGTTGGAGGGCTGGATCCGGTGGGGCGGGAAGCCTGGTGGGTGGAGCGGTCGGCCTTGGGGCAATTGGTTTGCTGATGCCCTAGCTGGCGGCAAAGGAAACAACCGCCGTTGGCCTGGAGGAAGGCGCATTCGGCGGGGGTGAGCTTTTTGAGACGAGGGGGTTGGGGGGAGGAGGAAGGCTGGGAGGCCAGGCGTTTTCATTCCATCCTCATGACATGGACAGCCTGGAAGTCTTCCTCGGTGAATTGGGCTGGGTCAAGGGGCTCGGGAGAGGAATCAAAGCCGTCGTCGGAGGGGAGTGACGAGTCGTCGGAGGCCATGTTGTGGAAAAACAGGGTGTGGTTGGGGGCGGCTGGTCGTTGAGATTGGAGGTGAGGAAGGCGATCATGGTGGAGAAGGCAGGGTAAGGAGATCGGTGATAGGGAGTTCGGGCTCATGGGCGAGGGCTGCGGCGAGGTGGGGGAAGCATACCTGCTTGATGCGGGAGATGAAGATGTAGTCGGGAAGGAGAGTCGACGGGGTGTGGAGGTGGAGGGAGTGAACGTAATGGATGAATCGCTCGGTGGGGCCGGTTTGGCGGAGGTTGCAAAATTGATCAATGTAGTCATCGATGGTCTTTTGCGGACGGAAGGTGGCGATGAGAAGGTCAGCCCATTGAAGGAAGGTGATGCGGGGAAGGCCGTTGGCTCGGCGGTTGTTGGCTTCGGTTAACCACAATTGAGCGGTGGCGCCTTGGAGGCGGGAGGTTGCGGTGGGGAGCCAATGAGCGAGGGGCATGTTGTGGAGATCGAAGGCATTTTGAATTTGAGAGAGGAAAAGGAGGACGTCCTCGTGGGGAAGGCCGGAGAACGTCGCGATATCGGTGCCGCGGAACGAGCGGGGAATGTCCCCGTTGCGGGGGACGATGCAAGCGAGGTTGTTGAAGTTGCGTGTCGTCGGGAGAGGTGTCGTAGCAGGTGTGATCTTGACTGCGGTCACCAAGGAGGTAGCAAGGAGGAGGTTGGGGTATGGCGGGGTAAACGCCCGAAAGGACTTGGGAGTAAGAGGGGTGGACAAAGGGGATGGTGGAAGTAGTTAGGAGAGGTTGGGTGAGGGGGGAGGAGAGGCGAAGGGGAGTGGTTCGTGTAGTGGTGGAAGCGCTTGTAGCAGGTTGTGAGGAAGGGAGGGTGATGGAAAGGGAAGTGACGGGGGTGGAAGGTGGTGTGGTGGAGGACGGTGGGGGGGTGGTGTTGGAGGATGAGGCCTGGCCGACTTGGCTGGCGGAGAGGCTTTGGCCTGATTGGCCGAAGGAGGGGGGCTGGCTATTTTGGCTGGAAGAAGATGGTTGGCCGGTTTGGTCGGCGGGGGTGGATTGGATGGATTGGCCGGAGGAGGAGTGGCCGGTCGACAAGCTCGCCGTGGATATCCTCGATGGAATCCATGCGGAGCGAGCCCATGTTGATGCTTGAGGTACCTTCGGCCATGGGGAGGGACGAAGGTGGGGCAGAGGGGGAAGATGGAGTGGAGGGGACAACGGAGGTGACAGCAGCGGCGGAGGTGGCAGCAGCGGCGGAGGTGGCAGCAGCGGCGACAATGAAAATTTAGGTGCGAAGTTTGGGAAAGAAAATTAAAATCAGAACGTAAATTTCAAATGGAATAAAATTTGGCGAAGAAAAATTGCAGAAGATTCGGGGTAAAGGAAAAGGGAAAATTAAATTTTCAAGATAATGAAATTCGAATTTATTCGATTAATTTTCAAAAAGGGAAAAACTCTTGTAAAGAAGTTTTAAGGACAATAAAAAAAAATTCGGGTTATTTTACGTGACAAAATGCTGAAAATTTAAAATTGGAATAAATGGAAAAATTTTAAAAATATATATATTTGCTATATTTTGGGGGGTTATTTTGAATTTTAACGAATTTAAATGATAATTATGAAAATTATTTAAATCGGGATTTCCGAATTACTTTGAAAAAAGAAAAGAAATGTTGGAAAAGAGAAAGGTTAAATTTGAGAAAAATAAAATGAAATTTGGAAAAGAAATTCGAGAATTTTCAAAACGAAAAGAAAGTTAAATTCGGATTTGGAAGTTGATTTGGTTCTTTTTCGGGATTTAATTATTTAAGTAATTAAAATGTTCGGGTTTGTAAAAGTTTAAATTTGTACTAAAGGTTTTTTTTTAGCCGAAATTCGCAAAGAAGTTTTTGAAGAATATTTTTGAATTAGGAGATGATAATTTTGAAGATGTTTTGAAATTCCGAAAATATTTTCAAATTTAAAATTTTAGTAGGAATTTTTTTTTTTTGAATGCAAAGATTCAAAAGGAATTTGCAATTTTCGGGTGGAATAAAATTTTAGGATATTTTTGAAGAAACTGATTTCGAAATGCAAAGTATTCGGAATTTTTTTCGAAATTCAAAAATATTTTAAAGTTCCAGAAAAAGGAGCTAGAGAATAACTAAATTGATTAATTTACAAAAATAATTTTCGAAGGATAATTGTGCAAGGAACATGAATATGGATGAAGCACAGAAATCCAGAATGCAAAATCACACTGAAGTCCAAGTAGTCAAAGCCAAAGCAGATAGCACAATGAAACCGAGTAACCATCCAATTGAGAATGATACAGAAGAATTGTGAGTCAATGTCCATGCCCAACAGGGCAACACCAACAGCATAACCCAAATGTAGCTCTCTCTTGTGAATGGCGCCAGGCGCCCTTTCTACTCTACAGCCTAGCCTACAACTACAACAATGAAAGCAACCAGACAACTTGACTACCAGCGAGTGATGATGTCAACACCAATGCCGACCTCCACCTCCACGAGGTACGTGTCCTCTTCACCCACATTCGCCCTTGTTACCCACACAGCGCCCTTCACCTCCGAAGAACCACCTTCGCCCTCACCTCCCCTGCGCCCGCCAGCAGCCCGACTATGGCCGCCAACGCCCTGCGCCCAGGCAGCGCACCACCGTATTAGTGCTGCCCGTCTCCCTCATGCCTAACGCAGCTTTACACAGCGCAGCACACCTCACACTCGCGCATCGTGCCGGCAATGGCCAAGGATCCCTGCCCGCTCGCCCTGCTTGCCTATATGCCAGTTGCGTGTGGGCGGCCTTCCTGCAGCCTGCGTCTGGGCCCAATACAGTTGAGGCCCGGGGGATGTAGTTGCACCTCTTTCGTCAAGGCCTGCGGCCAGATTCAGATAGTGGCCGATTTCCCTTTGACATTTTCGGCCTCTATACCCAGCATGCATTGTCGGCCTCATGTTCAAGTACCCAGGGCCTAACTAACTCAGAGGCCCTGGGTTTTCAGCATTTGCTGAAATCCGAGACTCGGTGCACTCCAACCAACTGGCGTGCTGCAACTGTATGGACCCCACTTCGTGAAATGTTGGCACACAGGGCTCTTGTTGATTTGCTGATTTGCTGGCCCGCCTTCACTTAGGGCGGGCACGCGGCTTGCTGGGGCCTTAGCCCAGAACATGTACATCATGGCAAGGCCCCTACTTGAGGGCTCAATCCTCACATTTCATCCCCCTTAGCTTTGAAAGTCCGCTGAGATGCTTACTTCGCAGGTGCCTTCCCTTTCAGTAGCCTCTCATATTCTGCCACCACCTGAGGAGCTGTCTCAATCAGTTCCTCCCTGGTAAACCACCGATCTTCTTTCGGATCCGTATGATGCCTGAATCTAACGCGGTACTCTCTCTTGGGTTTAGGAGGTCTTCCTTGACCCAGCGGCTTCGGAATAGGCATATCCCTGTGATCCACAATGTCGTCGATGTCCACTTGTCCATACATGGTTGGGGGCAGCATCGATCTCCTGGAAGGGAATTGATCTGTCTCAGCGAAAGGTGCAAGCTTTGAGGCATGAAAGATTGGTTGAGTGCGTAGGTGTCCAGGGACACGAATGACATATGTGGGACCATCCATCTCATCTCCTACTATATCCAGGACTTCCCAGGGACCAAAGTACTGAGGCATTAGTTTGCGAGAGATTTCGAACTCCTGTCCTAACTCACTAGCCTTGACCCAGACTCGTTCCCCTACTTGAAATGTGGACTGTCTACGATGTTGATTCTCAGAAGCAATCATTGCTTGCTGAGCTTTCTTCATATGCTCGACAGCCTCTTGCAGCAACTTCTAATACTGCACACCATACTCTAATGTGCCTGGAGTTGCAGTGGGTCCGTTTTCAGGCAGGAGGAAGTCTAGTGCTGATCTAGGCTTCCATCCCAAGTGCAGCTGATTAGGACTAACGCCGGTGCTGCTATGGATAACATTGTTGTCCAGGCTGGCGATGAGAGGCAACTGCTCATCCCAATCATCTTGGTTGGGCTTGATGTAGTGCCTCAGCAAGTGCTGTACAACTCTATTCATTTGCTCGGCTTGTCCGTTGGCTTCGGGATGATTCCTTGAAGTCATCTGAAGTTGACTGCCCATCTGTTCTGCAGTCTTCTTCCATAACTCACTTGTGAATCGGACATCTCGGTCACTAATGATTGACTTTGGTAAACCAAAGTCACGCACCCAGTTGTCTTTGAACAACTTGATGACATAGTCAGTTCTTGCGGTCTCTGGCATAGCCACTAGTCTAGCGTACTTTGTGAAGATGTGCCTCTTGCCACTCTTACTAGTCACCAGGGTGTCCATGAAATCCATGGAAACACTTTCTCCTGGACCAGCAGGAATAGGCAAAGGCTTCAACAACCCAAGCGGTGCTTGAGTTCGCGGCTTGTCCCGTTGACAGACCTGACAGGTCTCTACGTACTTCTTTGCGTCATCGAACATTCTTGGCCACCAAAATCGTTGTACTAAGTTAACACTCGTCTTCTTGTAGTCGAAGTGTCCCGTTGCGTCATGGCATTCTCCTAAGAACAAACTACGCAAAGGTTCACTAGATGGAACTACTAATCTTTTTATTCGGGCCTTATCAAGATAGAGGAGCCCGTCCACCATCACAAACTCGCTTTCCGTGGCCTTGTCTTTTGCCTGAAGTTTGCGAATGATGTCCATTGTGACAGGGTCTTCGTGATAGGCTCCCACCAACGATTGAGTTACTTCATCAGATACGCCAAAGTCAGAAACTAGCGCACCTAGGTAGTCTGCTCTACGTGATAGCGCATCAGCAACCTTATTATACTCTCCCTTCAGATACTCAAGCTTGAAGTCATATTGGTCTATGACCTCAATCCATCGCTTGAGTGCATCAGAAAGAGCCGGTTGAGTCTTGATCCATTTGAGGGTGTGATGATCAGTCCTCAAGTAGAAGAACCTTCCCAATAGGAAGTGTCTCCAATGGACAAGTGCTTTATATAGAGCATAGAGTTCCCTTTCATAGGTGGACTTTGTCAACTTCTTTGATGGCATCTTTTGGCTCATATACTCAATCGGTCTCATCTTTTTCCCATCCTGTTGAGCCAGCACTGCGCCAATGCTGTATTGGCTTGCGTCAGTGGTCACTATGAATGGCTTCTGCGGATCGGGAACCATGAGGACCTCATGATTCATGAGTGCATGCTTCAATCTCTTGAAAGCACCCTCGCACTCATCACTCCAGTCCCACGGCGTGTCAAGTCGAGTTAGATCAGTCAAAGGAGAGGCGACTGTAGTATAATTCTTTACGAAGTTCCTATAGTAGCCGCATATTGCTAGGAATGATCTGACCTCAGTGACTGTCCGAGGTCGTGGCCAGTCTCGAATACTAGCCAGCTTCGCATCTTCCGGCCTAATCCCCTCCGCGGATACTTCATGACCCAAGTATAGTATCTTAGTGCGACCGAACTCGCACTTCTCTAAGTTGACCTTATACTTGTGCTGTCGAAGGAGTGAAAGTACTGTCTCAACATGCCGTGCATGTTCCTCGGCAGACTTACTAAAGATCAGAATGTCGTCTAGATAGACCACGACGAACTTATCTAAATGGTCATGAAAGATCCGATTCATAGTGTGCTGGAATGTTCCCGGCGCATTGCATAGACCAAAGGGCATCACTACAAACTCATACAGACCATAATGGTCTGAAAAATTGTCTTGTGTTGATCCTCGGGTCTTATAGCGATCTGATGATAGCTGGATTTCAAGTCTATCTTTGTGTAGTACTTGCATCCCTGCACCCTATCCAATAGGTCGTCTATGCGAGGTAGAGGCTTTGCGTTCTTCACAGTGATGACATTGAGGCCTCTATAGTCAATGCACATCCTCAATGTACCCCCCTTCTTTGGCACGAATAGAACGGGTGATCCGTAAGGGGAAGTACGAGGCCGAATCCATCCCTTCTCAGTCAGCTCTTTTAGTTGTCGCCTAAGTTCATCTAACTCGGCGGGAGCCATCCTATAGATCCTTCCCTTTGGGGTTTTACTCCCTGGAATGATTTTTATAGCGTGGACAACTGCCCTTTCTACGACCCCTATAGGCTCTTCGAATAGATCAGGGAACTTAGCAACGACGCGTTCTATCTTTGGGGGTGTTTTAACGGGCTCCCCTTTCTCAGAGACATACACAAGGTACATACCTTCCTCTTGGTTTTGCTTGAACTTAGTCAATCTGACAGTTCGGCCATCGGGCAACTTATGCTTGAGCACCTTCTTATCCCAGTCGAACTAGGGCTTAGCAACTTCGAGGTAGTACATGCCTAACAACATGTCAAATGGTAAGTCGTCACTAACCAAGAACGAGAACTTATGATTAAGTTCTCCTCCTCCGTAGGAGAAGGTACAGACTATGTCCTTGATGTACTTTGTTACTATCACGTGCTCCTTGTTGGCCAAAGTAGATGGTACTGGTCTACGAAGGTGCCGTACCCGGTCCTGTAGGTGCAGCCTTTCCAAATAGTCGCGACTTATGTAATTCTGTGTGGATCCGATGTCTATGAAGGCACCACATTTGCGGCCTCCTACATCCACTTCCACCACGAAATGTTCCCCTCTAGGACCTTTCTTTAGTGCCACCCAAGACTCGCGAGGGTCCTTGTTTGACCACTCACCTTCTAAGTTTTCTAAGGCCTCAGACACATCTAACGTACAGAGCATAGTTTGGTCTAGATGTGTCTGCGGGATTGCTAAGAAGTCATTAGCTTCGGCCTTGTCATGAAGTGGGGAGGGTATCAAGCCCACGTCATCTTGAGTAGAAGCCGCTAAAACTTCGACTGGCCTCACGCGTTTCCCGAGCTTGAAGCCTGGGAATAAGATGCCCCCATCTTTGGAGGTATCTTTTGCGTAACCATTGCGTTCTGGCACTTGTATTGCGAGTGTCTTCGTATTCCCCGCAATTGATACAAGCGCCACGCACTCGGCGGCCACGCCACACGTCTTGGTCAAGACCTGCCTTCACCCATTCAGCCTGCTTGGTCTAATCGGAGGCGGCCTTCCCTTGACTCCTAGGTTGGCCCTTCCCTCGGCCACCTGCCTTAGTCTTGACTACCGCGGCGAGAGTGCTACCCTCAGCTACCTCCTCGCCGTCAAACTCTGTATAGTCCATCAGGTCAGTGAGCTCGTCAATCTCAGTTTGAGTCCCATCGGACTCCACCATCATCAACTTAGCCCCCTTCTTCTTCCACTCCCGAGGACTCTTCTTCTTCTTCGTGTCGTTCTGAGTGGGTTGAGCATTGCCTAGTGTGGCCTCCAAATCTAAGGCTTTCCTAGACAATGTCTCAAATGAATGGTCCTCGAGGCGTGCCTCGCTGGCTAGCAAGTTCCTGATGTTCTCAGGAAGACATCTAACAAAGGTTGTTAACAGGAACTGGTCACTATAGTTGATGCCAGGGACGAGGATCAGGCTCTCAACGGTAGTCGTAAGCTCTCTGACCGATTTGAACTTTCGTTGGTCCAGATTGTTAATCGCATCAGTGTCTTTTTGTGCCTCGTGTGGATTATGCCACCGAGCTTCTACCATTTCCATGAACTGGTCTAACGTTAATGACTTAGCCCAGTCTGCCATGCGTCGCCCATACCCTGCCTTCACAACTACACCATCTAGCCATTTGGTTGCCTTACCCTCGAGGTAAGATGCAGCAGTTACCACTTCATCCTCAGGCAAGGTCCTCTTTGCCTTTACCCAAACCGGGACTGTCTTCAACCAAGTGTTGAGCTCTTCGTCCTTTCTCTCGCCTGAGAAGGCAAGAGGCGGTTTCATTGGGGTCTTGGGGTACCATTGACCTTGTTGCTGTCCCTGTTGAGGAACAGGTTGTTGCGGTGGTGTAGCTCCCACCGCTGGACCCGAAGAAGAAGATGCAACAGTCTGTGCGGCTGCTGCAGTCGTACCACTTGGCTGTGTGCCAGCTTGAACTGGAAAGGGGCTTGACATCGCCGATAACGGCAACGGCGATTGTGCTGGTGGCCTGAATCCTGGCCTTGTCAATGCGTCCAGGATCTGGTCTAGAGTGCTTTGCATGAAGTCTAATCTGCTGTCCACGTGCGCATGCTGTGACAGCATATTCTTCTTCAGCGTTTTCAGCGGGTCAGTCAATGCTGACTCATCCAAGCCCTCAGCCTTTTCAGCCTCTAAACTATCAAGCCTGGCTGCTCTATTTTTTATCTCTCTTTCCCTATCTGTTGCCTTTTTCAGGTCCTCCTCTAACTTCTGGCGGAGCCTCTCGACCTGTTGGATCTCTCTGAGCTCCCTCTCACGTGGGGTCAACGGGCTGAACTGCGAGCCCGCCATTTGACTAGTAGACTGTCGAGAACCCATTGAACTGGAAGTGCCCGTGGAACTTGTTGGAATTCCCAACATGGTCCCATTGGTTGCAGATGAAGACGCAACCGAGGATGTTGCTGCTGCAGAAGACATCTCTAATGCCCTGGCTGCTGGGGCAGCCTGTTCCCTAGCTGCGGCGTTTACTGTGGCCCTAGCTGCTGCTAGTGCACGGGCTCTACGCTCGGCTATAAGTCGTCTTTCTTCTCCCGGTCGTAGTGCCTGGAACACGTGCGGGACCCTAAGTGCTTCTGCACGTGTTAGTCTCCGATTGTCTGCTCTATCATCAACAGGATCTGTTCCGCTCATCAGTTAGGCAGACAGTATCTGCACTAGAATCCCCTAGCGCAGTCCTACCACAACATGTGTCTGACTGGCACCAAATTTTCTAAAAATAGTTGTGTTCGGCAAGTCCCCTACTAACCGATCAAGTGGCATGTCTACAACATTCACAACAGATTGTCTACATAGTCTAGATGTACTCTGATTGGTTCACTCACAGCAGCATTAGACAGAACTGGCTATGGTAGCATACAGCAGTCCTAATCTAATCTGTCTGTGAGGTGTTATCAGTCTGTCCACCAACTAATCAAGAATACAAAAAGACCATGTAGCAGATGTATGATGAGTGGGTATGGTTGTGTATACAATTGAGCACCAATTAGAACCTACCCTCCCCTCAATCCAACATACCGGACATCATCATTGAGCAGGCAGTGTCTTCGTGTGTATTTCGGCCCACCCCTGTGCCCAAGTCGTTACCGAGCAAGCCAGCCCAACCACTCTTATTTACCCTCGTACGGCGACAAGCCTTCCTGTCCATGTGATCGGGCTGATCAGGAGGAATTTATAGAGCGCCCCCATCTCTGCAGGAATTATTTAACGTCGCAGTCAGGACGACGATCACAGCCAGATTCACAATGAACTCCCAACCAGAAATGTTTATAGACGGTCTGGTAACCCGGCAGGACTTCTATTTAGCGCAGCAAGTGCCAAAATGGACAGCAGCCATCGCATGCGTGACCTACTCCCAGTGGGTTGGCATGGTGACCGTGACCCAGTGCTTCGACCAGGGCCCCCTTTAGAGGCACCGCCCTTTCTCCTTCCAGATGCTTCCGAGAAGATTGTCGTCTCTCAAGGTAGCGCGCTCACGACACCTCACCAAAAGAGAGGACTCTCAAGTTGGACTCACTTCCTCATGGTAAGCAGAGATTGAGAGAGTAGATAAGGTAAGGGAACAACGTACCTGGAGATAGCTGCCCCCAACCACAGATTTCTCACCAATTGAGCTGAGTGTGCATTTGATGACCGGTCTTGACCTCGGTACCACCCACAACACAATGAGTGCCACCTCAGCCTAATGCCACATCAGCATGCTCTCATCACCAATCATACATTCCGCATGTCACCACGGCATACACTGCCGTCTTAGCCTTCCGGCGCACCCCTCTCTACCCAGGGCGTGCGCCTATATATGGCCTGACGTCACAAGTACCGACTGCGAAGAAGCATCGTCAACGCACCAAGTCTGTATAACGCCAGTGTGCCATAGGTAAGTGGCGATCAAACCAGCTCCGATACCAAATTGCAAGGAACATGAATATGGATGAAGCACAGAAATCCAGAATGCAAAATCACACTGAAGTCCAAGTAGTCAAAGCCAAAGCAGATAGCACAATGGAACCGAGCAACCATCCAATTGAGAATGATACAGAAGAATCGTGAGTCAATGTCCATGCCCAACAGGGCAACACCAACAGCATAACCCAAATGTAGCTCTCTTGTGAATGGCGCCAGGCGCCCTATGTACTCTACAGCCTAGCTTACAACTACAGCAATGAAAGCAACCAGACAACTTGACTACCTCCACCAGGTTCGTGTCCTCTTCACCCACATTCTCTCTTGTTACCCACACAGCGCCCTTCACCTCCGAAGAACCACCTTCGCCTTCACCTCCCCTGCGCCCGCCAGCAGCCCGGCTATGGCCGCCGGCGCCCTGCGCCCAGGCAGCGCACCACCGTATTAGCGCTGCCCGTCTCCCTGCGCAGGCAGCGCCCTGCGCCCAGGCAGCTTTACACAGTGCAGCACACCTCGCACTCGCGCAGCGTGCCGGCAATGCCAGCATTGGCCAAGGATCCTTGCCCACTCGCCCTGCTTGCCTATATGCCACTTTTGCGTGTGGGCGGCCTTCCTGCAGCCTGCGTCTGGGCCCCAGTCGCTGAACCCAGGCCCAATACAGTTGAGGCCCGGGGGATGCAGTTGCACCTCTTTCGTCAAGGCCTGCGGCCCGATTCAGATAGTGGCCGATTTCCCTTTGACATTTTCGGCCTCTATACCCAGCATGCATTGTCGGCCTCACATTCAAGTACCCAGGGCTGAACTTACTCAGAGGCCCTGGGTTTTCAGCATTTGCTGAAATCCGAGACTCGGTGCACTCCAACCAACTGGTGTGCTGCAACTGTATGGACCCCACTTCGTGAAATGTTGGCAC